CACACACACACACACACACACACACACACACACACACACACACGCTAACAACTGGCAGGTGCTCTGACGAGTTGGCTTTCCTAGGTCCTTAACGGCTTTTATCTTGAGATGTGCCTTGCTGCGGTTTCCTCCTTCACGGTACCATGTATTGTGTGGAATACAGAGAACATGAAAAGTGAAATAAATACTAACATAACATTGGAAAGATACACTGCATAAAAGTCTGAAAGGAGTGTAAGTTGTCAATATAAAACTGCTGTCCGGCCCTGGGAATCCCCATAGGCACCCAGAGCCAGTCACTAAGATTGAATCACTTGATTTTTGATGCTGAGCCAGGAAAATCGCGTGAAAATTCTGATGGTCCTTCAGGCAGTTATTCCAAACTATGTTTTTTTTTGTTGTTGTTGTTTGTTTGTTTGCTTGCTTGCTTGTTTGCTTATGCCAGGGTTTTCTCCAAAGTGCTGAAAGGACAAACTTGAGCTCCCACGCCCAGCCCCCAGCTGCTCTTCATGCTGACCATCTGTTTGCTGCAGACTTTTATTGCCATGACACATCCTGTGACCTTTATGAACACAACTGCTGGAGTCTTGTAAGCATAGCACACATCGCCATTCGACGCTTTGGGGAACGGGAAAGGAGGCAGGTGGGTGATCAGAGTGAATGGACTGGAACTGCTGTTCTCACTTTCAACTAACAGCATCAGTATCTAAAGCATAACTACTGAGCGTAGTTAATGTGACTACTTAGAGAAACCCAGAATGTCAGGGGAGTCATATTCCTGGCCTATGATACTTTCTTGCTCCTAGGTATCACTATATCAAGTACACGGTTAGGGATAAATTCTTGGGTTTCATCGTCCCATTGACAAGTGACAACCGGGTAACCTGTCAGGAAGATGCTTTCGTACAGGCACTCTGATATCCTCTCTCCGCTCACTAATGCACACCTCACTCCTTTCATTAATTCCGTGCTTCTTCTGCAAAATGAAGCCCCTTTCTTACATTTCACTTGTTTGCCATAGCAGGCCTTCTGTAGGTCTTGATAGGTCGCAGATACAAGGTAGTACTCCGAATAACAGAGAAGCTTATCGTGAATATTTTTAAACACGAGTTCAGTGTCGCAGTAATCATCGTCAACCAAAGGTCGCTCGGGATCAGCAATGATCTTTTCTATGATTCTTTCTTTGGTAGGTGGTTTGGTAGGCCCTGTGCTATGGAGTTCCCTTAGGTAGTCACCTAACACAGGCATCATTTCATATTCCCTGTAAGCCCAGTACTCCCCTCGCAGCTTGAGTGGCGGCAGCAGCAGCAGCAGCAGCGTCAACACCCATGGGTACTTGGTGACCAGAGACTTCATTCTTTCCCTGTAGAGTCAAAGCGGTGAAGAGAGACATTCTATTAGGACGCAATGCTTGTATTTTACACGCACGCATGGGCCACTTATACCAACTCTCCCTCTTCTCTGCAGTCTGAGTCGGTGGCCCACTGGAAAACCGTTAGGTGAGACTTCAGAGTTTGTTTGAAGACCTCCCCAATATTGACTCTAAAACAGCCGCGTTGGTCTTGGGGATAGTAGGTAAAGTGGGGGATGTGAACGAAAGAGAGAGACAGAGCTAGAGAAGGAGAGAGGGAAGAAGTGGGGGGAGGTGGGAGGAAGTGGAGATGGGGTAAAGGAAACCAATAGAAGGATGGGAGAAGGGCTGGGGGAGATCACGGCCACGGTGAGAGAAGAGAGGGGCACGGGCAGCACGTGCTCCTTTTGTCTAGAACAAGCACATTTTACTCATTCCCAGAAACCAATAACATGCACAGAAATGAACCAGCTTCCCCTTGTTGATCCTGCTCTGACAAGGAGCACTCTCCTGTTGATCCTGCTCTGATGAGGAGCACTCTCTGTCTTAGGGCTTTCATTTTCGTCTTGCTCACATCTGGCCACAGATGTCCTGGACGAGCCGAGCAAATGTCCACAGAGGCACAGCCGACATGCACTAAGCCGGCTGCTGTGCTGACTGTACTGAAATGAATGATAAGTAGCGCCAGTGGAGGCGCTGGTTACCGTGTGAAAAATCATGAGCCACGGCCACAACTGCCTAGTTACAGAGAGCTTTATTGGGAGGAAGAAGGGGGTTTGGGGTACAAGAGAACCAGGCCTTGGGAGGAAAGAGGGAGAAAGATGATGGGGTGGGGGAGGGAGCAGAGAGAGAGAGAGAGAGAGGGTGGGGTCTGTGTCTGGCTTTGTAAGGCTCAGATTGTATGACCACGCCGCACATACATAGTCGCCAGCACACACCGATGACGTAAGACACAAGACCCTGAACTGGGAATGTGCAGTCATGCAGTTGGAGTGAGGGCAGAATTCTAACATGGACCTCCACGTCAGTGTCTCTAACTGCTCTGTCCGTTTTCAGCCTCTTGCCATGTTGTACCGCTCTTCCACCAAAGTACATCATTTACTTTGATGCTTCCTCCTGCCTCTTAGGCAAACTTGATGGTTCCTGTTTAGATTGGGTTTTAACCTCCCTAAACTCACTCCAGATTCGAATCACTGTCTACAGTTATGCTGATCTCATCAGTGGAGAGTTCACAGCTACCACACTGCTCGACTTTCTCTATGTCTACTAGTCACCCCACCCTAGACCCAATCTGCTGCCTGCTGTTTCCATGTACAGACAGGTCTTTACAAGTTTAGGAGCAAATGTCTTTGCTTATCAATTCAATGCTAAGCCAACAACATAGAACAGAAGATAATTTAAAAAGAAGTTATTGTGCCCATATTGGTGATGCATATCATAAAACTGGTTAACTGTGCTGTTTTAAAGGTCTTTTTTTTTTTTTTATAAGAAACTGAGGACCAACAACATCTATCCAGAGATTCTTCCCATTTACTAAAATAAGCAATGAGGCATAGTCTTTGCTTTAGTCCAGAGAATCATCTTTTGTAGAGAACGTCTGGGCTCATTTGTCTTCTGCATCCCTATCCCAAATCTGACTGTTTCTCATTAGTTCTCCAAGATCTTTCTTTCAGTGGAGAGCAATGACCTTATCTGAACTCAGAGCAGGATTCAGAGCCTGACTGTGTCTGTTGCCTCTTTATTTCATCTGTACCCTGTGTTATCTATTCTTCAGAGAATAGGTGTTTGGGTTGCTGGACTTAGAACTTGATACCAGAGATATTGATCTTCAGTGAGAAGAAATCCTTCTGAATTTGGAACAGAGAATGAATCTGAGCAGCTCAGAAGCACATTGTTGAAGCTCATTTAAATCTTAAAAAGGTAACACAGATATAGTGTAAGAAGCTCTATGCCATAAGCTACGCCAAAGACTTCTTATATATTACCAACATTGAAACAACCAAGGGATAGAAACATTGTTTACTTTGTGTATTGTTATTAGCATTTTCTCACTCTGGAATATAATTGTCATAACCCAGAAATTCTGGCCCATGTAGAAGGGACATGGGAAGACGATTGTAGCTAATCACAGGTTTGGATTCTGTTCTTATGAATTAGAGAGAGAGAGAGAGAGATGAGAGTCAGAAGTTAGGGGCACACAGTGGGAAACGGAGAGAATAGGAAAGCTGAGCACAGAAGTGCAGCGGGAAGAAGAAGAGACATCTTCCAAACTGGTGGTATTGAGCAGTCACTCATCCCATGTGAATATGTTCATAACTCATCCCTCCATAGTTTTTCACACGTCCATCAATATCACATTGTCACAGCCAGAGAGCTGGGCTCACAGCTCCGCAGTGAGGATGCAGAACCTCTGTAGTGAGAACTCAGAGCCCCTTCAGCACCTTGAGGTAGAGTGAGCAAAGTCAGCACACACATGGCCAGCGGAGTCTGAAGCTCTAGGCCCTACCCTTTAACTTACTGAGAACTCACCGAGAAAATGGTTTACAAGATATAGCACCATATCTAATGGGATATGTATATATATATATATATAGAATGTGATATATTAAGCATTCATGGAAGAAAAATTCAGGAAGAAATTGTTACAATACTTTTGAGAAAAAAAGGAAAAGTGGCAGACAAAAGGGTTAAAGGTCATAAGGCTTTTGTAGAAAGTTGTTTTTTTTTTTTTACTATTTAAACTTTAAATGGATGATTTAACAAAGGGCATTACAGTAACATGTATGGAAAACAGCCATTTACTTAAGCAGAAAATTTTGGAAATTTGAAAGTCTACTAGAGTGGGAAAGATTAAACAGAGTCTAATACATTCAAAATTGTAACAATTACCCATGCCAGTAATAATAATTGTAAATGAGTAGCTATTATTGAGAAGGTATTTTATATTCATGGAGCTATGCTTTCTTTCTTTCTTTCTTTCTTTTATTTATTTATTTTGGTTTTTCGAGGCAGGGTTTCTCTGTGTAGCTTTGCGCCTTTTCCTGGAACTCACTTGGTAGCCCAGGCTGGCCTCGAACTCACAGAGATCCGCCTGGCTCTGCCTCCCGAGTGCTGGGATTAAAGGCATGCGCCACCACCGCCCGACGGAGCTAAGCTTTCTTTGGGTAGACCGCTTTCCAGTCTTTGTACATACACGAAGCTACAGCATTTTAGAGACGTATAGTGAAGAATTTTGTGCTTCTATAGCACAGTGCTGGGAGTGTCTAGGTAACAGGGAGAGAAATCCTCAACACATTATCTTAAACTCCAGAGGGGCTGTATTGACTCACAGAAGAGGGCAGTCCACTGGGCACAGAAGGCGGAAGTTAAAGGTCTTCCCCGGCTCCTGCCGCCCACTCCGCTCCACGTCTGTGCAGACCAGATTTGCTCCTGTGTGGGTGCTCTGTGGACTGGCAGGGCCAGGCACTGTCACTTTTGTACCCTATCCGAGGGTCACAGTGTTCCCACTGTGCGGCCCTCCCCCACCAAATTCCATCAAGGAAAATGACGCTTCTGATCGGCCTGGCTTCCATCACTTGAGTAAATCAGAGATGTGGGGACTTCTGACTGGTCAGCCAGAAACACATGCTTTTTTTGGGGACATCAAAGCAAAGCCCTGTGATTAAAACCCCAGCCGTACTTCAGTGGTTAGTAAAAGAGCTGCTCCGACTGAATGGCAAAGCAATGAGGACCATGGGCAAAAGAAGTGTGGTTGTGTTGGGTGGAGAAATCAGAACACTGACCTCTGTCTACCTCATAGTCTTTAATTATTATTACATTTTAATTGGGTGTGTTGCAAGGTATGGGTGCATGTGAGCCATGGTGCACGCGTAGACGTCAGAGGACAAGTTGTGGGCGTTGATTCTCTCTCTCCATTACGTAGGTTTCAGGAACTGAACTGAGGTTCTCAGGCTTGGCCACAAGTGCCCTTACCCACTCAGCCACCGTCTCACCAGCCCCACCTCACCATCTTAATTAACGGACATGTAGATTATATAGGAGAAAAGAAAAAAAAACAATCTTAGTGAAGTGTTATTAATGAATAACTTATTTCTTGCTAATTTCTTTTGTTTTGTTTTGTTTTGTTTTGCTTTGCTTTGCTTTTCAAGACAGGGTTTCTCTGTGTAGCCCTGGCTGTCCTACACTCACTCTGCAGAGCAGGCTGGCCTCGAACTCAAAGATTAGCCTGCCTCTGCCTCCCAAATGCTGGAATTAGAGGTGGGTACCACCACTGCCTGGCCTCTTGATAATTTCTTAATCTTAGTTTTACAACTATAAATTTTGCAACTCAAAAAAGACTTTAATAGTACAATATACTTTCAAGACCTCAAGTATTCCTGATTCAATTTGATGAGGAAATTCCAGTTTTTAGTTGCACCAAATGTGTTCTTTTCACAAACATTTTGAGGCACTTGCACATTTACCTCATATCCTAAGTGAGGACCACACTGAGTCAAGAAAATCTGGACAGACACACCAGTGTGGATAGTGAGGCAGTCAAGCACATTGTTTATGTGATTCTGAGCGTTTCTTCCTCTAAGGTGAATGCCCAAGTGAATATCCAGCAGCACACAGGATACACCATAAGGAGCAAAAAAAAAAAAAAATTCTCGTTAATTGAAAATCAGCTTTCCAAATACAGAGTCATTTTCATATCTTATTTTGGAAAAACGAAGTCACTCCAACAAAAGACAGAAACCTCTTCACAAGTGATTAAAGTTCTCTACAAATTAATTTTTACTAGTGCTTTGTTTAGCCTTTTAAAGTATAAGGTTATATAAAATTTTAAAAGATTGTGGTAAATAGAAATCTGCTACATTTTTCCTGTAAGTCAATATGATCCTGGACAATATAGACTGATTTATTCAACTCCTAGTTATGTTTTGCTTAATAGTTTCATTCCTCTCCGAAGTCAGAGATGGAACGAAGATGAAATACATAATGCATAAGGTTAAAATTCTGACAA